CCGTCGATTGGGTCCTAACGAATTTTACAGATCGCGATCGACGAGAGTCTGGTTGCTACGAGAGATCGTAAGGATGCGACGAGAACGTACGCACGGTGTCGGACAACGATTATTTCGAACGACAATCGTACTGCACATTTTTCGCAACGAAACGGTAGAATATAAACTAAGAATTGGTAGGAAAATGTTGTTGCGCTGCCTCACGAAAACACTCGTTGAATCGTAACGGGACGTGACAAAACGAGATCGAAATAAATGACAACGGAAAGCGCTTAAATTTATTTTAGGAACCGCATTTGTTACCAACGGGTGTTGTTTTGGTAAATAAATGTCATTCGAAACTGATGTTTCCATCTATATTATCACCGTAACGTTAAAATTTGAAAGTTAAAGTATGTTCTTGTCCACGATTTTGCTCGTTTCTAACCAGAGAAATAAATGAAACAAGTGCACGTACAGTAACGCGACGCGTTAGTGGAAAACGTTCGAAGTTATATACTTCGAGTATCGGTGACAAAGTGATATCGATATTTTCAGCGTTCCTTCGACGAACGACAAACAAGCGTCGCGTCGCTCGAGCGTTCCTTCGGTGAAACGCAGTTCCGTTGATTACCGTCGAACAATCGGAATCCCGCAAAACCCGCGCGGCTCCCGGGGCGAGATTGCAAATGACACTTGCAATTGCGGTGAAACGCGTGAATCTAAAATGTCCGGCCGCCCCCTCGACGAAAATTCGACGCTTTCAATTAATTATACGCGGTTGAAACGTTCGGTTGTTACCTTTCCCCGCGCTTTCCTATGCGTAAACGGTATATTTGAAATGTGGGCGAAATGCCTGTGGATGAACGCCTGTCGCGATGTCCCGAATGAAAACCTGTCTTTCTTCTAGACCAAGGAACCAAAGGAACCAAAGAAACCGCCCTAGATATCCGTCTTCCGGTGAGTTCATCAACGGGACGAGCTATAATCATGGAAAGGTACTCCTTCGAATTCTCGCAAATTCTTTCCACCGCGGTTGACGGACAAAGTAAGATTATCCGCGACTAATCTTGCCAGTTTTTTTTTTTTACAAAATTCCAGCTCCGTCGTTCGTAGCTCGTTCGAGGATATAAAAGCGGGCGTGGAATTACTTATTCGACCACGTTTCGCGGAACTCTTCGAACGCGAACGTTGGCCTGTCTCGTCGAATTTTCCCTCTCTCTGTTTCTCTCTGTCTTTGTCCATCCGAACCCGGTGCGACGTTTAATTAACAAAAAGTTCCCGTTAAGACCAGAAACTGGAGCGTCGGAATGGCAATTTCCTGGTGGGAGCTGCGGCCTTCAGACCGGAGGAACCGCGACGGTACCTATGCTTCACATTATTTTGAATAAGGAACGAGGCGGGAGCCTGGCAATCCATTTTCCTCGCCACGGTCCCCCGGGATACTCTATAGAATTAGAGTATCCGAGCTCCCTTGCCCGTGGATACAGTTTGCGCGACGTTTATACATGTACGGTATCCCCCGGTACGCCTTCTGTCGGGTTACCGCGAATGTAATATCTTAAAACGCCGTCCGCCGTCGGTCGACTGACGAGAAAGCGCTTCGAATATCGTGACGGATTACGCGGGGAATTGCGCCAAGCGTTTCGTAAGCGGAACGCTTGGGACACGCTCCAAAGTCGATACGTGATATACAATCCGGTAGAAACGCGGCTGAATTCCTTCTCGAGACGCGAGATTCCGCGTGCGATGTAAAACTGTAAAACGCTCGCGTTCGTTGCAAGGGTTGCACGCGATCGCAAACAACCGAGAACGTAAACAATCAAAGTAAAGAAAACATGAAATACGAGCTACGTTTCGAGCGGGTACGTTTCGATGGCCCTTCGATCGTGGAATTAATTAAGTTTGATGTTTACCCTAGACCTCTTGGCAGTGTGGATCTTAACTCCTCCGGGTCGTACAGAACAAATCTAGTTAATTTTAATCTCGTTGCGGGAATTTCCAACATCATCAACGAAATCCCCTGAATTGGTCTACACTTGGATGCATGTTGGTGTCTACGTTAACTGTGCACAGTGGGACAAAACGGTTTTCCGCGATTAAAAATCGGTTTTCATGAATCCGAAAAATGGAAAAATTGTTTACGTACATGGATAGAGGACAGATTGCTGTTTTACGTAGTGGCGATTCGTTTTTTTTTATATTTGCTGCCTTTTTGCCATGGTGCTCATTCAAAGTCAGTCGAAATTCGTCCGAGCAAAACGCTACGATTCTAAAAAAACTTTACTTGGAAAGACGAGATTCAAACGAATATTTGACACCCTGTCAAATTGATTTATACTAATACAATAGCACCAAAGTTATAAGTTTTTGATCGCCGAGAGCCGTTTCGTTCCCACCGTGCGTCGATGATTACGCAACGTAACGTATTCGCTAAAGGTGCTCGAGAAACATGTTTTTGTTATCATCGTAGCTACGAATTCAAGCTGCTATTCTTTTGACCATTTTTCATCGACTTACCCCGACAATTACTTCTTCTCGTAGAGTCGCGTCGATGAAACCTACCCCAAAAATTCTACGTCCCGCATCTTATCATGGAAACGACCAGTCGCCAACCTCGTTCGGATGCGCTAACCCATCGACATCGCCGAGATATCGAGACGATATCGGAACCGACTTTTTGCTCCGATATCAAAGGATTTCGTTAAGCAAATCGGATTTGCGTCGACGCGATAGCGGCGCCTGGAAAATTTCTCAATCACACGGCTCGTTAATGCGAGTCCCTCTCGGCGCGTGTTTATATTGCGCAACTCGAGAGTAAACGTCTTACGTCGGTGTTGGAATATCGCGTGGGATGATATTGGGATTAGCAGCCCGTTTCCACGAGCTCGCTATATTACGCTTAGCGCGTCGAATGGCTACTACCGTCGAAAGTTAACCCTCTCGACGACCATAACCGTGCCGGTACGCTTCATCGAAGCGGTCGCGTTACGCCCCACAGAGCCCGAGAAGCGATGGAATTCGGAGGTCTCAGGCAAAGGTGAAACAAAAAAAAAAAAATTCGTCGTCGAAAGTTGCTTCGAACGAAGGAACGCACCCTTCGACCTATTCTGCTCCGTTGCTCCTTTTCTTTTCTCTTTCTTTCCACCGGTATAATAGACCCACCGAGGCGACAATAAAAGTGGAAATAAACTTTTTAATACATTTCACTTTGGCCTCGTTATTCCAGGACGCGGCCTCGGAGAGCGTCCCGGAAGAATGCCTCCCAGAAACTTGAAATTTTTAATTAAAGTTACAGTCGACCGCGGTTTTTTGTCCGTCTCGACGACGCTCCGGGGCTGGCGCGCGTTCGCCTCGACGCCGTCGGCTGTGCGATCAACGGAGACAACAACGGCGTACCGCAGGGGTGCGCAATTTAAACGGTGCCGAGGATCGGACCATTTTTACGGTGACAGTCGATAATGCATGAAAGTTTAACATAGACGAAAATTTCGATCGAGGAAAGAAGGAAATAAGAAAATGAATCGAAAGCGATATTCGAATCACGTTGTACATTTCTGATGTATAAGGAGGTTACCAAAGAAGAAACAGATCGAGAAGGAAAGGATGCAATAGGAGAAAACTTGGCGATCGAAAGTTTACGAAGTCCGCGGAAGGAAGCGGGATCGCCGGCAGCGTTTCCGCCGGCTCGCGGAATCCTTTCACCGGACGAAACCATTTTAATTAAAATTCTCAAAGAGGCCCCGCCGTCGAATAGAACCGAAAGAAATGCCTGAAATTAGCTGGGAAGATAACTTAATCTTCGCTCGTCAATGCCTCCGCGGACGTCAGATTATTCGCACTGTATTTAGTATCAAACGTGGACGAAAGTTCGAGTTCGAGTTATCGAGAAACCGTTGGAAAGAGAATTTAGCTTTAGATCGGACTTGGTTCAACTCGGAGTCACCGATATTTTCGACGTCGGCGAAGTTTCACCTATACTTCACGAATCTACTTTTTTCGTTTAATTATACTGTTTGTCCCAACGAGTGCGTATCGAAGTAATTTTCAATGTAGATTTTCGCGAAACGCGACGCACGCTGAATAGAGACGAAAGAAACGGCTGAAATTAGCTGGAAAGCCAACTTAATCTTCGCTTCTCGCAGCTTTCACGAACGATCCCGGGCGTACGGCGGTTCGCACGATATTTAGTAATTACCGGCCAGGTCGAGAAACGCGAAGAGTACGCGACAAAAGGCGAGCAGCTCGCCGTCGCGGCGGCGGAAATTCATGCGGACTTAACCCGATTCGCCGTCAGCCCGTGAAAGCCAGCCTCCCGTCCGGAACCACGGCAATGCCCTTTTAATTAGAAACGGACAGACTAAGAAGCGAAGTGGTCGCGACGCCATGAATGTCTGAATTCACGCTAAAGACCGACGTCGCTCGGCTCGTCCGAATTGTAAAGGAACGGAGCGGCCCTTTCGCTCGAATATTCTGAACCGCTGCTCTTGTTTACCCGCCAAACACACCGAAAATTGGCCCTCGTCGCTGCTATACTATATCACCGTCTCGGGGCAAGTGTTTCAAACCGAATTCTCCATGTATAGCGGTAGGTCCGTTCACGACGACCAGACCAATGAGCTGTCGATAAACAATTTCAAATAATAGCGAAACTATACGATTTTTTTTCTGGCAAATAGAGATAATAACTCGATTATAATTTAAATCGCGCGCAGACCGGAGCAAGAGAATTTGCCCGGTTCTCGAACCAATTCCTCTCCGAGTAATCCCAGATTTCCAAAGAATCCGAGGGGTGGGAAAAAGAGAGGAAAAAATCAAGAACGACGACGAGTAAAGCGTAAGAGAGTCCGTAAGAAGAAGGAATGGGCTGTCTGGTGGAATCTAGGTAGGAGAAATGGAAAAAAGCGGGCCGGTTCGATTTATATAAATTCATGGGCGATCTCTGAGCGCAGCGATGCGGATCTACGAAGGAAATCTCGTAATCCGAGGGTGCTCATGATCCTTATCGTTTGTCTTTGCAGAGGCTTACGTGAATCTGGGCGCGGCGCTGGCCACGGTCGGACGTGGAACGGAGGCTGCTGCGGTTTTGCGGACAGGTGCATCCTTGGACGGGTCTGGTCTCAAGGACAAAAGGGCTCACGAGGCGGCGAGAGTGCAGGCCCTCCTTCAATTAGGCGCCCTCTACGCCGATCAGGGTAGATTACAAAGGGCCTTGTCCGCGTACAGAGAAGCTCTCCACGCCATGCCGGATCACTATCCACCTCAGGTCAGTTCACATTCCCGTTCGTTACTCCATTAACGCGATACAGCTGTCGGGAAGCGAGGAACGCTCGTGCGCCACTTAGACGTCGGCGCCGGCGGTCGCGCATCCGTGAATTCCCTTTGACGATCCATGCATCCTTGGACCGGTCCAACCAAGCGATTTACAATAGCATACCATCGCGCATATCGATGAGCTCTCTGTGTTTTGACGTAACTCCGGTCCCTCTCTTACACGTCGATTTTCGTTTCGTCAATTCAGAGACGAAATACCAATTCCAATCAGAAATATTCTCTTTGTCACTTCACGATCGTTGACGTTGTCCGTTACTGTTGTCGCTGGTGCAATTTCACCGTGTATTCGATGAATTTGAATATTTCGTCTACCTAAATTCTACAGATCGTTGTTCGAAACCCTCGTTTCAATTCCTCTGAGAAAATCCTCACTTCTGCTCGCGTTGCCATTGAAATAGATTTAAATTCGTTTCTAGTTGCGATACGTTAATGCATCGCAAACAATTCTCCCCGGCACGCGCACGTTGCATCGCGAAAGACTACAGAAACGAAAAACACGTGTCGATTGGATTACGCGTGATCGAATTCACGCGAGAGAATTCCGAGCGCACATTGACTTTAATAGCGTTAATTCGATTAAACGCGGAGCTAGCAGACAAATTGAACGATAACAAAACTCTTGTTTATCGGGACGAGCACCTGCGCTGCCGGAGCCATCAATCGCGTTCGCTAAATTTTCGAGAGTTCAACCGCGTTATACTTTATCGATCAGGGAGGGCCGAACAAGACAGTTTTTCGACGGTCAAGACTAATTCGCCGACAACCGGAAGGTTTTCGCGTAATTAACGTTTATCAGGCGGGCAAAACTCCTCGTTGCCGATGAACAATGCAAAAAGTAGTTACCGGGAAAATGAGATTGTCGAACCGACGTTGTTTCCAGCTCGGGACGAGGCGCGCGTATGCGTACCGCCCGCAAATATGATTTTCAGTCGCGTCGTAAACCAAAATTAAAAATTTTAAGCTCGTCGTAATCCTGCGCGATGACTCCCCCTACCCGTATCTTCCGTGCAATCTATCTACTCTTTTCCTCGCTGCGCGCTGAAAAATTCCGACGCGTTTAACTCTTTCAATTTTCATTTAATCTCCTGCAAATTTCCGCCCGAAAGATTCACCGAGTTTCCTCTCGCGACCCTCGCGAAACTTCTTTACTCCAACGCGAGCACGTTAATCCCTTCGAAAATGTGCATCGAGGGAACGTCTTCCAAGGAACATTCCACGACTAGAATACTCCGAAAGTAACACGAGTCTAATATTCTTCGACGGTCCGTGTTTCTTGCGCCAAACTTTCGTAAAAATCGAATCGGTGCGATCCGATAATGTTCCTTATCCGTTGCTTGCTCACACCGACCAGAGTATTTTATTTATACCGAGTGGAAACGGATCGGGGAAACGGAACGATTGAAAGCATCGATACATCATAAAACGACAAGGAATTGATATCGATGGAACGAAGCAAAATATATCAGTCTCCTTAAAATAAATATTTGCTACCAGGTATCGTACTTCCGTATGCTCGGGATGCTATCTAAATTATCTATTGAATCTGCATTGACATGCGACCCGTTTCGATCCAACGTTGGGAAAGAAATTTTCAGAAATGTCCAGATATAAAGTGGAATGTGTATAGACAGTGGCTTACTATACAAAGTTGGCCATTTGGCGGAACAAAACTGAAAAAATCATTTGGAAAAAAAAACTGAATAATCGACGGAATCCATCTCGAAGTGTTTAATCACGAAACGGAAAGATCGGTGAACAGACTGCGCGAAATTTCAAAAGTTTACAACATTTTCCGCTGGAAACGTAACCCAGAAAACTTCCCATAAACTGAAAAACGTTCTACCCAGAAGTGATTTTCGACCTTTCCGTCGGCATCGTCTACGACGGAACTCTTAATTGCTTTTCAAGATTATCCAAGCAACTAGCAATTCCGAGTTAGCCGCTCGATCATCGTCGATGACTGGACGTTGTTTCTTCCGGCGAAACGCGTGCTTCATCTAGCAGAGCTGAAACTATTCGGGCAATTCTGACTCGGCGAATCAGAAATCTTGAAAAATTCGACGGTTGCCTCCTCGCGAGTCGAGACTGAAAATTTATGAAAAATTCTCGAGAGTTCTCTAGCACAATCGCTAGCGGCAACTTTTCGGACGGCGACGGCGACGGCGACGACAACGGCTCGCGCAACGACCATGTCGTCGCGCTCGACTTCGACGGAGACGCGAGAAGTTTGCATTTTTACGAGATACACCCTTCCCCGGGTTCACTCCCGTTTCCACCCTCCGGTGCCCCTAACTACCCCGCGGTGGCAACGTCGGCGCGTCGCTACGTGCTCCACCCGTGGCTGCGTTTTGTTCGGTGCATCGTCGTGGAATTCCTGCGCGACAATTTATACGAAAAGTATTTTTCGCCCTTTCGTGGCTTCGACCGCGGCAACCGACCCTGTGCCGTCGTGCAGTTTCACCCCGGATGAACGTGTGCGTGTGTAGCACACGCGAGAAACGTCGCGCGAACGCGCCAAGAAAACGGAATTCGGATCCATCCCGCCGTTTCCGGTGCGGCGCGGGGCGTCCCGTTGAAAATCCACGGAAGCGTGTTCCCGATGTGTTTCGAGCTCGTTAGAGCGACGTGCTTGGAACGGAGGCATTCACAGTGGGGTCTGAACTCGTAAAGATAACTCACGTTGCCGCACACCGTGACGGCGAGGGTGTTCCTCCGTGACCGCGTGCTACTCGAATTTCGACGTCCGCCCAGAATCGATGGGATCGTTCTTTGAAAAACCCTCTCGGATTTCTCCGTTTTTGTACTTCGCCGTGGTAATGGTTAAACAACGGACATTCCCGGAAGAGAAGAGACGTGCTCCCGTCGCGCATCCCGCGCCCCTGGACGCACCACCATCGACAAATCGGAACGGATACCGACCGCGATACCCGCGTTCGCTCGGACCACGAATCGCCGATGAATTTGAATGCAAATACGGGAAATCTCTGGTTAAATGGGATTAATAATTTATTACTGTCCGACCGTTTCGAATTTTAAGAAGCATCCCCCAGCCCTTGGGCCCTTTTTATTATTCACCGCACATTGCTTTTATCGTGTGCACGGTACATTACCCGCCGACCACTCCGCGTCCCCTCGTCGCGCCCCGTATCGCTATCCAACGTGCTCGTTACGTACCCTCCTCCTCTTCCCCCTCTATATTCGGTCATCTATGATTGGAGAATCCGAGAAAGTCGTACTGGCACGTTTCCACTGAAACTTTTCTCCGCGACCCTCCGGTCCGTCTAATTGATTAAACCCTTCTCACCCAAACGAAGGAATCCCGAAATATTTGACATCGAAACGAATCGAAATTCCTACGTTTCGGGTCCCCTAGACACCCGAGACACGGTCGTAACTACCGTCCTCCGAGTTCCACCGTTCGAGACGAACGTAGTTTTTCATACTTCACATACAGTGCGTACAACGCACTGGGTCCAGGAGAATTGTCGGGGTCCGATACAATAACCGTATATATGCGACGCGTATTATCCGCAGAATTTATTTATTCCGCCGTCTGATCAAGACCGGCCGTATCTACTGCGACCTGTACGCGTCGCATATAGGCCCCAGTAGATACGGCCGGTCCTGATCAGACGTTCCCATAGACAAGTTCGAGAGACGCATTCGCGCTTCATACTGATTCACGGAGGAGGGGTCGGTATAATTTCGTATAATTTCTCTCTGAAACGAGACGGCCGAGCGTTATAACTAGTTACGGCAAGGGTCAAAGTTTCGGCCGACCGGCTGGGGGTATTAAAGTACGGAAAGGAGCAAAAAGAAGAGATAGAGACCGTCGGTGGCGGGAAAGCGTCCGGCACGACGAAAGCTCTCCGCGATGCTGTTCGCGTAAGCCACCGATATCACTCTGCCGGCCAATTTAAAGTTACGATTCGAAAGGCTATCTTGTCGCTCCGGCGACCGTGAATCCCGGCGCGAGCGACGTTATCGCCTTCGTTCTACGAATTCTGCGATTCGAATTCAGTCCGTTTCCACGTTTATTATATACGCGTGTATTAGCTGCGATGCATCGCCGAATCAAAAACATCACACGGGACGTTTGAGCATCTTAAACAATCATCTTAACACATTAAACGCAGGCCACGCGATAATTTTTATATTTTATATATGTAATAATCTATAACCAAATAAAAGTGTATTTTTTTTATAATTATATACGGCAATACGAGTCTCGCGAAAGGTGGGTCAGACGGACCACCCAGAAATGTAAATTCGCGAGTCGAACGACCACTGTTTAACAAACGTACTTATCGAAAGCAGTCGACCCGTAAAGGCAACGAGACTTGTTAAGACCGAAGTAAACGAAAATTGCGAGCCTTGTCCCGGAGGCTTTTTTATCGCGTGTGACACGGCCCGTCGTTAGATACGTTAGCCACCCGGTATCACGTGCAAGGGAACATTAAATCCAGGCGTAATTTACGTTTCGTACAAGTCCAGATAAAAACCTGATCCGGTTAGACGGGTCCGAGACACGCGTTACCTCAACGCTCGAACGACGGACCACGTTTGGAGGGTTTTCGTCCAGATCTCCTTGACTGTATCATCGATGACGTAATGCGAAAAGTAAACGGCGATCGCGATTCGCGTTCTCGCACCTTCTCGAATCGGCCACCCCTTTCTGACGCGTACTCGTTCAACGCCGGCTGTTCCATAACTCATTACATTTCATAACGTATTCGTTCGTAGTTAGCACGCAGTCCGCGTGATTCATCGGTATTTAGTCGGTGTGGAGGATTTATCGTCTTATTCCCCCGCGTCACGGGGTGAGTTAAAATTATTACGCGAGAGTTGGACGTTCGCAACGCGCTTCGCCGAAACGAAAACGCGGCGAAGGGTTGGCTCGACCGTTGGAAAAGGGAAAAATCATGACTCGAA